AATAAGACTTCGGACAATTTTAGTGTTAGAGTGACGTGGTTTATTATATGGAGGTAAGGGTTTACAAGAGTTAAATCCGTGACCAAAATTTTTCTAGAGTCCAGAAGGTAAGATATTTCATAGAGAGAGTCGCTTTTAGAAGAATTGGTTTTCCTAAGAGAGGTAGAAGGAGATAATATGGATGAACTAGATGATTTAGAAGACATGATTTACAAAGTGTTCTTCGTAGTTTCTTTCAAAGTGGATAATCCCAATCAGAGATAGTATGATCAAGATAGCAACGTTGCTCTGATACAAATAGAGTGGGGGTATGACAACCTTTATAATACATGGTATTCTAGTCCGTAACAAACATTTTCGGGCAACAACATAGGGCCTGACTTTTGGTATTACAAAGATTATCAAACCTCCCTACCGAATCTTATGATCACTAGTACCATTTTTTGTGAAGAAACATCCAAGTATCCAGAAACAACACTAGAAGGACAACATCTTCGTAAAAATCTTTGGAATGAATTTAAGGGAAAAAAAAAATGAAAATTGATAAAATGGAAATAGACAAGTCAGAGCCAAGTAATCAAAATTCAAATTATTTGGACGCTGAAATAAATTATAATGTGTTTTCCAGGATTTTCAAAATCCATATAAATATGAAACACAGCCGTATGATTTTGATCCAACAGATCCAAATAATCTTGAAACATTGGAAGAAAAACAATTTGAAGAAAAAATTGATACTAAAACTTGGCCTTAGTGGAAGCAACATGGGCCCCCCTCTGATTCAAATATACCTGGACGAGAAGCAAACCTTGGAACACCTTAATGACTGAGCTCACGTGGAAACTTTATCTAAAGTTCTTTGTCGATTCTAATAAATGACTCTTAAAAAGTAGATTCCTTGCTATCTACTTTTTAAAAGGTGTTTGTCGTGATTTCAAATTATTGTATCTGTGTCAGGATCTTATCCTACTTTATCAAAAGTAGTGTCATTTGTCTTCTTGTATAATTTTTGTCTTTGTGTCAGTCGTCTTATCCTACTTTATGAAAATTAGTGATGAGTCATTTGTTATATTGTAAAATTATCGTGCTCTGTGTCGGTTGTATTATTGTGTAATGTGTATGAAGGATCCACTCTTCTATATAAAGGGATTTCCTCCTTCATTGTAAGATATCTCGAGCCCAGCTCCTTATGAAATAAAATGTTTGTCTCATATCCCCATGAGTTTCTAAAGCTTTTCATGTCCTTCCATAGTCTTAATGACTGTGATAACACCAAGACGAATAGTAAAAGCAAGATCTAAGTAGTATCATAAGTATGCTCTGTAGTTGCTACTATGAGGATCCTCTATTTCAGAAAAAATGGTACTGCTGGTCATAAAATTCGATATGGAGGTTTGATAATCTTTGTAATACCAAAAGTCAGGCCCTGTGTTGTTGCCAAAGAGGGTTTGTTGCGGGCTAAAATACCGGTATTATAAAGGTTGTCATATATAATTTCATGTATCCATAGTAAAATCAAATCCATTGCATAGGCAACGCTCGACTTGTCACTCACGAGCTCGGCTTGTCCTCTAAATGGAAAGAAATAAAATTTCATTTATATATATAGTAAAATCAAATCCATTACATACGCATGGCTTGGCTTGGCCCCATTGCCCA